GATTTGACGACGTACCGCATTGACGAAGCCAGTCATGAGCTCATCTTCGAACGTAGATTCGCTGAAGTGTCCGCAGCTTGTACCTGAGAAAGAATCGCGAACCGTGACAGAGTTGACGCACGATTTTTAGAAAGTTAGCGAACGTACACTCGAGCGCGAAAACATCTGCGGCTAGCTTCATCATGTAGCCTTTTGAGCGGAATACAAGGTCCACATGGACGACGGGCCCATGATCGACATAACATGAGTGACAAGCTAGCTCAACCCTGTGCCATCGTACAAGCGGCAGCAACCCCTTCCACGGAAGTTTGATAAACGTCATGATCCAGTTAAAACTTTCGAACAACAGTTCCAAGACAAATGGCAGTGCACGATGGCAGAGTTGCACGTACTGTTTCGTTGCCCCGCATGCAGTCCTGCATTAAGCTCACCGGTTCCGCCTTCGAGCTCTACAATATCGGCCCGGGAACCAGCAGGGTTGCCCATGAAGTCGTTGTACACCTGGGCAGCCAGGGGGCACTTCCATTCCGCGCTGCCGGTGCTGTCACAATCGGAACACTCACCCCACAGGGTACTGGTGGTAGACGTCAAGAAACACACGGAGCGCAAAGACGGACAGCAATGCATGAGTTTCGATATAGATGAGAAGAGCCCATCTACAACCCGCAAGTGCTGTAGACCCCCGAGCGGCAACCTCGCAAGATATGGGCCGAATCCTTCACAACACTCGCACGAGGGTAGGCATGCCAAGCACATCCTTCTGGCTCTGGTTCAACACACAATTGCGGGAACATACGAATCAAGTAATCGCGTCCCCCTGCAAGGATGTCATCTCACCCGGTGCCGATAACGTGGCCCATCTCATGGAGGATGACACCTTCGAAGGTTCCCTGCCTCTCCATCTCAGCGATGTCGTCGATGTCGAACGTCCTGACGATGGATACCGGGAGCATGTGAACGGTTAACAGGCTATGAAGACAACTACGATACCGTGGTAAAAACAGACGTCCCGAACGCAGAAAGAAAGCCCTGCTTTCAGCGTGCAGGCGATGTTTAAAGAGTGGACAGTCAGCTCCACGTCGTGTGCATCAAGTGGAAAAACACTCTTCCAACCTGAAAATCACCAACTACAAACTGCAACCACTCTCACATCTCTCCGGAGTAGCTGATGCCGCGGCAGTCATTGTAGGTGCCGCGAGGCCCGGCGAAGCCCAGGGTTCCGTAGACACCGTCGATGGGTTCAAGAGTGGAGGTGATGGTAAGCTCGCCCGCGGCACCCCCATTGCCGTTGGTTCCGGAGCACGGGATGTGCGTCAAGATCTCCGACCACCTAATTCATCGGGTGTTTTGGGGGAACAGGAACCGGAGGGTCAGGGAAAGGTGCGGCGAGATCGCACCGGGCGCGTGCGAAGAATGCTGTACAAAGGCGACCAGGCGAAAGGCTGAGCTCGATGAGACTGAGCTCCTACGGAGATGGCCTCCCAGCCTCACCTGTTGGCTGCCCTTTGGAAGACGCCCTTGCGTTCGTCACTCCACGTTCCCAGGAAGTCCACTGTGATGAAGAACTCTGACATGCCTGAAAAGACAAGTAGATGGGGCCCGGTGTGAACTTTCGCACAACAAGTACGGCGGTCATGTACGCTACATACGGCTCCTTGCGTTGCTGGAGCCTTCAAAACGTAGATACTTCCCCCACACCCAACTCTTTTCGGCTACAGTACGGACACAAAGAGTTTTAAACAATGGCACGCGTTTCAGTTGCAGAAAACTGCAATCCTCTCCTTGTTGGTCGATTGTTGGTGCCCAACGAGAGCAGGTATCCACCTCACCCGTAACGTCGGTCTCGCACATCATCCCCCCGTAGCTGCTCCCGCAGCTGCAGGTGTACCCACCGTTGGGGTCCACCTCGCACGACCCTCCGTTCATGCAAGGGTTCGGGTTGCATGCACCAACGCCAGGGCTTTCGTCTGTCACCGGGGCCGGAGTGGGCTCGGGCTCGGGTTTAACGGGGGGCCGGAGTGGGCTCGGGCTCGGGCTTAACAGGGGCCGGAGTGGGCTCAGGCTCGGGCGCAACAGGGGCCGGAGTGGGCTCAGGCTCGGGCGCAACAGGGGCCGGAGTGGGCTCAGGCTCGGGCGCAACAGGGGCCGGAGTGGGCTCGGGCTCGGGCTTAACAGGGGCTGGAGTGGGCTCGGGCTCGGGTTTAACGGGGGCCGGAGTGGGTTCGGGCGTTACAGGAGCACGGGTCGATGGTTCCGGTTCAGGTGAAGGCGGGTCAGTCTCGGAGACGGGAGGGGAGGTGGGGAAGGACGGAGGGAGGGTGACAGGGAGCGGTTGAGCTGTTGTCGGGATAGGCTCTTCCCCAGTGGAGGGCGGCGGGGTGGTGGCTGCGGGGGCAGGGGTAGTCCCGGGCGAAGGCGTGTCCGGCGGGGCAACCTGTTGGCATTCCTCCTCCGATTGTTCGGGGAGTCCAACCTCTACCTCGATGGCTGCAGGGTCCCCGTAGTCGCCACTGCAGTTTCGAGGGGGGAGAGGGGCGTGGAGGTCATTCGTTTGTTCCGTGCCAAAGGCAAGGTGGCTGTATTGTACCGAAAGCTATCACGCTTGTTGGGCGGGTGCATTGTAGAAAATGGTCTCAAGGGCGCGCCACCCGAACGAAACGGAAACAAACGCGTGCGTCAGCTCACATCGGGTCGTAGTTGCAGACCAAGACTTCCACGTCGATGTACTGGTAGACGCATGAGCTGATCGCACATCCGAGCTTGGTTGTAGACGCCCACAGCATGCGCCTAGCACGGATGTCGTACTCGGTTACAGGTCCGTCGTCGACTGCATAGTCGTCTGCGGGGGTTGGAAGTCCCAAACAGACGAAAATATGCGAAGCGCCGCAGAAAAGGAAACAGTTGAAGGCCGTTGTTGTGGTAGGGTTGGAGAACCGAGCAACATCTGTGCGGAATCAATCACGTCCAGCTCGAGAGGTAATTTTTGAAACGGCAGTTATGCAATGCTTGGAAACGGAGAGAACGGCTGCGGGGAGGGCAAGGAGAGGGAGGAAATGGTTCGGACCCTAGCTCAACCGAAATCACTGGGAACAACAAGTGTTGTAACCGGGCACATGATGCTTCTTGTTATTTCACGCTTTTCGTTTCTTCGCATACTTTGGAACTCCGCGTAGTTTTCGTCCGAAATACAAGGTCGACCCCAAAATTGCAAGACGGTCGCAGTGGCAGGTTGCATCGACCACAACCATCGCTCCATTTCTTTCAAAAAAACGTCACGGCACTCACACATTGTGTCCAGCACTCCGTCGTACATCATGCAGTCGGCCGCGCCATAGCACAGGTAGAGGTTTTCGCCGTAACCGTGCGCTGTCACGTCGCTCCAGAACAAATAGCCACAATTTTGCCGCGAGGTGAGCTCCTCAGCGTGACCCTGTCACGTTGGGAGGAGGGAACAACCGACGGAAGTTTCGCGAAATGAGGTGGGGGTCGGTGTCAATGCGGCCAGGGCGCCTTGGCCACAAATGGATATGAGGAGGGGAATACGATGATGAGAAGTAGTAGTTGGCGCGAGTCCAAAAGACCAGCTGGAAGCTACCCTTAGGATCCTACGCCGACGTGATGCCAGAATGTGCTCGCTCCCCAGGGGCAGCGATGTTGGACTTACCCTGGCAGTCTCCTCCATGGTTTCGTCCCATGCCAAGGGCTCCGCGCCGTGCACGCACCTGCGGTGGTAGGCACGGGTGGTGCGTCGCCGGGTTCAGAAAAAGGAAGAAGGCATTTGGTCGAGACGGTGCTGCGTGGGGAGAATATTTCACTATTTAGACAGGACATGCAGGTGCATGACCGACATCGAGAAGGCCGGGTCCAGTTGTTGCCGGAAGACATGCGAGGGGGGCGGAGTCGCTGTGAAAAGATGTAACCATGCCACAAATCTCTTGTCGACGGTCCCAACACACCTCGTTTTGATCGAGGTGCGTGGACGCAGCATTCGTACAATCTGATCAACATTCGCGACTATTGTAATAACCGCAGTAGTTTAGGCGTTATAGCTATACGTGCCGATGAAGCGACGACTCCTGCTTCGATTTACCGTAGATGCTCACGTACGCAACGCACCGTACATCGGGTCAATTTCCGAAGTCAACTTCCCGAAACAAAAAATGCCACTATTTGATGTGACTGCTTCTGACCTAGCCTCGTTGTGAAGGTCCAGCAAGACCTGCTTCTCGGAAGAGTCGTCGACGCTATCTCCGGCATCTGCCGGCCCAGTTTCTCCAATGTAGTAGAGATCGAACGACCAAAACCCTCCTGTTTGTTTCGGATGCATTGATACCGATCGGCGGTCAACTTGACCATCATACGCATATTTACTAGGGGTTCACACAAGTCATGCCATATCGAAGCATTTCGTTGGTTGTAGCAAGGATTTATCGGCGACGACCTTGTTCCTACTGTGAAGGTCAGAAATACCCCGATGTAGTGTTGAAGCAGCCACGTCAGTTCCTGCACGAGTTGAAATGCATCCTCCGCTAAACAGTCATGTTCATACATTGGAGAAAGCAGGAGGCTTTGGACGTGTTGGGAGCGTACAGCAGTGTTGGAACGCACCGCAAACAAGGTTGTCGTCGCCTTTGCAAGGGTGGTCGCAAGTGCCCGGTCCGTACTGCACGTGCCGTTTCTCCTCCTCTTCGGTCCCGCAGTAACATTCGCGTCCGTATTGCAGGCCCATGAAGTCGTAGCCGTTGCTGGAGCAGTGCTCGTAGCACAACTGCACAACACGGCAGGATAAGAGTGAAGTTCCGGCGTCATTACATCCGTGCTTGACGCACAGCAAGACTGCCCTGTCGGCGGTCAACAGCAATTGCATACCATGGTACCTCCCTGTGAACCAGAGAGTAGACGCGTCAAGCAACTGTACAACAGGATGTACACTGCTACAAGCAATCAGCTGCTGTGTGCCCGGGACATCTCGTCTGCAGCAGGAAAAACGCCTACTCTGCAGTCGTTTCGCTGTCGGATAACACAGCGTGCAGCGACTGCTGTGTTTGTCTCGCAAGCTGGGTTGCTATGTCAAGTACGCGGGAGCAGAAAAGTGCGGGGTAACCAGCCAGGGTAACCTGTTCTGGGGTACATGGATACCATATTCGACACAGGATAACACCCCCCCTGTACCGATTTTCAAAGCTCGATTTCTCAACAGCAGAAAGAGTCACAGCGCCGAAAACGGTGCCATCAAAGCCGTCTCGTCGAGAACTTTCCGAAAATGCACCGTGTCGTTAATTCATCCTCTTGGTCGTGGCGTAATCGAGCTTTGAAAATCGGTCCAGGGCGTGTGTCATGTTGTGTCGTATGTATGTATACGGTAGGTGGTGGGGTGGTGGTGCTCGGTGGTTCCTTGGTTCCGCCGCACGTAGTATGTGCGTAGTTTCTGGACTACAGATGCTCGGTGGAGCGTGTGAGGTGTGAGAGGACGGCTAAGCTCCATGGCCAGCCTCTCAGGATTCCTCTCACTCAGTCTTTCAATTATGCTCTCTTTCCGCCATCAAAATCGGGCACGCTACTGCTGTACATACGCACGTTTACCGTGGGGTTGCGAGCCTCACATACATGCTTTTTCGCTACGAGCTGCGGACAGCCCGGCGAGCCAAGGACGCGCGCAATTCTTCATACCCGGCACACCAGCGACCTCACTGCTTGCAATGATTCTATCCAGTTACAGTAGATTTCGGAACGACGCGGGACAACATTTCGAAGTGCTTTTCAACCTGATTACCTCAGAGTACCAGTACCTTTGGCGCAGACCTACAGCACTACATCTAGCGGTCAGTCATCATCAAGCGCAACATCAACAGGACTGATGCTGCTTGAACCCTAGACCCACATCATAACTCAAAACCCAACACTCTAGAACTACGTTTAGGCTGTTGTGCTCTCGTGTTCTTGGAAGTCTGTGTGCCCAAAGGCTGAAAAATTGAAAAAAGACGCTGCTTTCATTTATTGGATCCAACCGACATATTTTTTTTGGAATTCGGATTCCACGAGCGTTCGCGGCACTGCGCGTGTACATGGAAGTGTGCAATCTGGTCAAGTTCATGACATAACAATCTCATGCTGTGGACTATGCATTCAACAATTCTAGTCGAGGATGCCAGCTGGCATAGAGAGCTGCACGGTCGCGGTTTGCGCAGGGAAGCTAGCATGCACTGTTTTGGTGTCGCATGTTTCTGCACACACTACGGACACCCTACGAGCCGTCGTAGACTACGTGTGTGTGCAAGAAGAATGTCCCGCATACGCAGACTTCCAGAGATACAGAGATACGTAAGTAGACTGGCTGTTCAGTTGTGGTGAACGACAGGACAGAGTGTGCCCGCCTTGTGTGTCACAATCAACGAACAAAGCCTGTACTCCCCGCGCGAGTGGTACGCGAGCCTTCTCTCCCGCGTCCACCCCACCATGTTTTTCTTCTCACCTCCGGAGTCATTTCATTGGATCTGAACCCGTCATCCATGGCTCGGCCCTGCCCCTCCTCCCCCTCGTCCGCGTAGCAGTCGATGTACTCGTACGAGGATGTCTCATACGACAATCGTCGGAGTTGACCGCTGCTGCTGATATTGCATAAGAGGGAAAGCACAGGGTGGGCGGTGTTTCGGCCCAAAAGGTTATGAGCCTGACGGCAGTTACTTAGTTTTGGAACGGATATCTTGGGTTTGGGGGCGAGATGAGATTGATTGTGGGATTTCGTGCCCGTGCACACTGAGATATGCATGCAACGGTACCAGGTTTGGTCAGGTTCCGAACCCTTTTGGTACACGATAGACTCGACTAAGCACCCGCAGTCGGGTGGCGGCAGGTGGGCTCTGTTCAAAGAATGGGGCGGGTACGCACACAAAATTACAGTATGTGTGTGTATGCAAGGCGCGAGCAATTTACTCACGTGAATGCCAACAGCTTGCCCTTGGCGAGAAGTGGTTCGGATAGCTCCCCGACCAAGCGCGGCGGGGAGTAACGTGGCAGACACCACAGCAGGAAGGTACATCTGCGCATGTAGTACGGCGGAGCGTATTTCGGCGACAGCGGTGAGAGTGGTTTGACATCGCTCGGCGGTGTGCTGCGCGTTCAGATCTTCTCAGCAGGTGGGATCTGCTGGGGCAGGAACTGCTCTTTGGATATCGGGCGCCGGATAGTTTGCTGCAGACACACAACACACAACCCTGCATACTTTAGGACACTTTTTGGGGGCTGCGAATGACAAACCGGACTGCTTGCCAACACCTTACAATGCACGCTAAGTTCGCATCCCGGGAGTTCAAATACGAGGAGAGCAACAGGGTGTATGCATATGTACTCGCACGCATCCTCTGCGGGAAAAACGAACGAGTTTTCGCAGGTGAATACGCCTGCATGCAGACTACATAGTCTATTAAGAGATGGCGCTAAAGGCGTATTTGCGGCGTATGGACTGTACCGCAATCACTCGTCTTCAGCTGCTCTCATCACGACGTGCAATACGCTATTTACCAAAAGAGGCTATAAAGACCCACCTTGATCGCTGGCTAGGAGCTCCCTTGACGTGAAAAGAACGTTGGATCGTGTAGCGTGTATGAGTGGGCGGTGGGGGAATAAAGCGCCGCGTGCCTGGCTCTTTGCTTCGGCTACTTTTTTTTCTATTCCATTTTTGGAAGTTGTTGTTCTGTTCGTTGAGAGGATGGCTTTTCTTGTTGTACAACAATAATTGTTGATGATGCATAGCAACACCTGCCGTACCATGACTTGGTTGGGTGGACGCGAACATGTGCATTGTCTCAACACTCTCTGTACCCCTTCCGCATGACCCCTCCCACAGATATCCATACTCAGTACTCAAGGACTACGGAAGGGTGTGGACTTACGCAGGACCGGATCATTGATATGGGTTCGGGCCGATTTCGGCCCGATCTCGGGATTGCAGTGGCGAGTGGTGACTGATGAGAGAGACAGAGACGAGTATCGGCGGCATGTGGCGGACCACTCTTGGGTCTGCATGCCAGAAGAAAAATAAGTCGACTAAGCCGTCGTTTAGTATGGCTCATGGTTCGCCGCAGGGGGGGGGCAAGGAACGACAATAAATTGAGGTTGTAGACTCAACAACTAATATTCGCCTACTTACTACGACACACCGACACACAGCAGCAGTGTGTGAGATTTTCAACGTATGTATCCGTACGTAACGATGTAAAGGGACTCGCTCGTCAAATTTTTCTTCCGTGTGAGCCGCGTCGTCGACAGCAGTGCGTACTGGTCGCCAATGTTATCATCGCGGTTCTACAATAACAGTAGCCTGTAGATGATGCATGCCGCAATGAACGCGATGTGTCTCGCACCAACTTGCAAGTGATTTTCGACCATCGACCATCGCTTTTGAAGTAGTAGTCCAGGCGGCCGTGCGGCCGATGTACAGCAGTACAGCAGTAGTCTAGACTAGTGACGTTTTGTGTCATATAGTTGCGCGTCCATTCATTCTCTCTCCGGGGGCAAGGACCTCCCCTCCACGTAAATTACGTGCTGGGTGGATGCGATCAGACGCAGCCAGCAAGAGCAAAATACCAAGGATTGGAAAGCTGCCCTGTAGAGCTTGCCCACCATACATAGGAGAGATATCATCGCTGTATGCTGCTCCGGGACTCGTAGAAGCAATGTATGGTCCAAAAGCGCAGTGCTTCCGCTATCAACGCAATGTGTGAAATCAGTGGATATGTACAAGTATCTGAACCTGACCCTTCCAGAAATTGTAGCCCAGCGAAAGCCAACTTCCTTCTATGGCGGCGTTGATCGATAATTCGGGTGGCTCAGTTGTGTGTGATGGGAGCGTAGAGCAGCTCGGCCATGACGGGCCGCACGGGTAGGTAAAGACGTGTAGACGTGGTGAAAAACGTGTTGTATTCATCGGGGGCGTGCTTGAGCTCGTCATTCCATCACGGCATCAAGTCACGCATAACGCTTTAATACCCAGAACGAATCTCCATGAATCTCCACCAATCTACTACACTCCCAAGGAAAACACAAAGAAACTTCTTGTCCCTCCGTAGTTCGTCACTGCAATCCCCGCATATGTATACGCAATATACCACCCCCATGCTATGCTACGAGTATATCGAATAGCCCCCCTGCTCGTATGCATCGTCATGCTCCAACAAAGTATCAAAGTCATCCTTATCATACCAGTTCATCCCAAAACAAATCAAAACCAAGACAAAATCGAAAACTCCAACACCAAAACAATACCTCCAAAAACAATCAATCGCATACCAACTCTTCCAAATCATCAAGAAAAATCCCGAACATTAACCTTCCAAAACACTACCATCTCCACTTGACCCTCTCTATCTCTTGTTCAAACTCGTACATATCCTCTCTCTTCCACTCAACGGCAAAGCACGATTTGATCCCAAAACACCTCTGTCACTGCAAATTCATCACAAAGTCTCTGTGCAACGCAAAAGATTCCTTGCTGATAGCCTTCGTCAAGAAATCTGCATGCTGAAACTCCGACGCCACATGAGTAATCGAAATCTCCTTCCTCTCTACCAGTTCCCTGATAAAGTGATGCCGTACATCAATGTGCTTCGAGTTTGAGTTCGTGATCGGGTTGTGCGCAATCTGAATCGCTCCCTGATTATCCTCGAAGATTTGAATGCACGGCATACCTGCATCTGGCAACATAAAACGCCAAACTTGCCTCAAGAAAAGCACCTCCTTCAAGACGTCGGCAATTGCCACATACTCTGCTTCCGTTGTGGAAAGCGTAACGCACTTCTGCGTCCTCGAAAACCAAGTCACACACCCACCCCCACACATCACTAGTCCTCCTGAAACCGACCTACGGTCTGCTGCCTTGCTC